AAAAAAAAAAAAAAAAAAAAAAAAAATTACTGTGATAATCAAAAGAGATTATAAAACTATGCCAGATGATGCAAGACGTAGAAAGGAACGGGGAGCTGGCGATGAGCTTTACACGAGGGTACCAGAGTTCAGCACTGAGAACTTGTGGTCTATGATACACTAGTCAAACACCTTAGCTGCTGCCGGGTGCGCATTTAGAAAAGTCGAATGAAAGAAACCTTTACAGTCTGGCAGCAACCTCGATATTCGTTAACTGCTTTTTCAATCTGTGCCATCCAGAAAACGCGAGCATTCCGATTCGGAGCGCGCAGCGCTACCGAAACATCCCCTGAAATTGGAACGAGCAAATGCCTTCCTCAACAGCAGAACATAAATCAACTTTTGAAAGACAGTTGCTGAAAAATCGCGTTGAGTAATTAGTACTAACCAGACCGCACTTCAAACGAGCAAGAATCCATTTCCTTGTTTTGAAAAGCTCGGATATTTTCCAGTAGCAAGGGTGTCTTATACAAATTCAGATGTATTTCACTTGTTTTTTGGATTCTGAATTCCTCCAGCTGTTCAATTGGCTCGGCAGGTGTTGTGAGCATAAAAAAGTCATTGAACAAAAACGCAACTAGTGTTTTTCCACTTCGCTGCTTTTGTAAAGCACCAGAATGTAAAAGGGAGCGAGGTCCCACTTTCCTGAAACTGATTACATTTAGATTCAACGCAACTGAAGACAGGGCCAAATAAGCTTAATTAAGAAATGTTTAACCGAGTAGATGAAGGGAATACGAGAGGAGGCTGAATAGATTCGCAGTGGATATGCTGCTGCGCCCAGACAAGCATATTGGAGTTGTCCATGGCACTGATCACACTGTTGATTTCTGCACACATCGATTTCAACAGCATATAGGCCTTTTCAGTACTCTAAACAGAAGAAATCGCAGGTTTTTTTTTTCTCGCTCATCATAGCGGAATACATAAGTGTTTTTTATTAATTCCACACGACTCATCGAAGCAAAACCTCAATTACATCAAAAATTTACCATAAGCTCCCCTATTATTTCACATTTTTACATTTTCCTCATTTTCCATGCTCCTACTTGATTAATCACAATCAGCCTATTCATAACTGGCGAGTTCAATAAAAACTGAAAAAATGTGAGCTAAAATACCACGCATTTTAATGTTTCTGAAATTTTCGAAAAACAAAAACAGGAAAAAATACTTCGCGTTTCGGGTCCTCCGCATCTGTATATTTCACGAGCTTTTCAAAAATAAGGGGGTAACGCGTGATACGATTCATTGGTAATAGTAAAAAGTAGCTGAGGTTGAGTCCATTCGTTTGCATACAACATGAACGATGGACCTTAAAGAATAAATATGTATAAACGGCTGATATTGCATACTAGGTCTGCAAATAAACGACTATTTCAGCGGACTCTGAGGAGCCGTCACACAAACAGGCGCTGGTGAGTAACTGAAGATATTGAGCTCAAGATCGAAAGACATGATGCAAATATACATATTACATCCTCGTCCTCCACAACGGAACCAGTTTCTCCGCCCGGGATCCGAGATGAAAACACATCTCAGCCTCCAAAAACACACCCCTTCTTACAGGTGTTGAGCCCAGAAGAGCAGAGTAGACGCGTCGGAGGAAATGCGTCAGACCTAGCATCTCTCCGGAAGAACGAACAACAAAAGCAGAGAAACAGCTGCCCGTACTACCAACCGATGCAGCACTGATAACTGATCACGCAGCCATGGGAAAGTTACCAGCTGTGCCAGTACCGCGATGGCAAGCTATGACGAATCGGCCACTTATCAACGATCGCTACAAACAACATGTATTTAAAATAATAAGGCGGTTGGATGGTAGTGCCCTATTGGTCAGAAAGCAATGTATTAGCGCATTAATTAATGAAAGCGAGAAAAAATCTGAGTAGCAAGCAGGCTTACTTGTCGGAAGGCAGCATTCGTCTGCTCAAGCTCATTCAACTTTTCCAGCGCAGATTGTTGTTTTGAACAGAATTCAACATAAGCACGCAGCACCTCAGCGTGTTTCACGAACGCATCACCTAAAATAAAATTTATTATTCCTCATATTCTGGAACTCATTCAGCTAATGTGAGGATAACAAACAGCTTGAATGACTCTACTGCGACAAAATTCATCTCACGAAGAGGGACTGTATGCTGATCGATTCCTGGAAAAGAACTAACCGGGAGAATCTTGCGCAAGTGAATCGGCAATGAGTTGCGAGGTTCTGATGAGCTGTTCACAATTTAAGAAAAGCTGGTCCGCTAAGTTACTGTTTATCACTGCGTGTAATCCCTGCGAGAATATGCGATAACACATCGTCAGATCTCGACAGTACTTTATTTCCGTGTCCAGCAGTTCCTAATCATTGAAATAAATGGCACACTGTACAGCAGCATTATTATCTGTCTAAATATGCTATTAAAAGCCGAGATAGATGGACCGCAGTCGCTGGATTTGACGACTACTGCAGATACGAAGGTATAACTGAAGAAGTATCAGAAGGAATAAAACTCAAGATGCAAAGCCTTCCTTAACTGCAGGCTCATCAAGCGAAAGTCGAAAGAACTATACTATATAGTATTCGCTCTGGTTTAAAAATAAATAGCGGCGCGCACCAGGGCAGCCGGTGCGATCATGAGTCCCGTTCATCGAACGATTGTCTGGTAACGATTTTCACTGCTTTACACTTTGGTCTGCGCAAAAAAAGTTAAAATATTGTCTGGTTCTTAAGTTGCCGAATTTCCCATCAAAAATTCCACGCACACAAGATAAT